AAAACAAAACAAAACAAAACAAAACAAAACAAAACAGGGCTGCTTGGAAATTTGACTCTTTCTCTTCCGTTTCTGCAGGGGCCAGATGTTAGAAGCAAGCAGCTTAGGTTTAGTTTGGCAATGTGGAGCTCTAGTGTGAGTGACTTCATTTTGGTCTGCTGCGACACTTAGTACAGGAACTCAGTCCAGATCAAGGCCTCCTATAAATTTATTTAACAGGACTTCCCCACTTGTGTCTCCATCTTCAGTCATGTCCGTCCATCCCCATATGCACTAGACAAGGTGTGATCAAAAATATGGTGAATGTTCAAAAATATATATATTTTAAAGATTGATTACAGTAAGACACATTTCCTCAAAATACTCCCCTTTATTATCCTAGCATTCTTGCCACTTTCTGAACCAGTTCTGGAAGTCTTCTTTCATGTCTTTGCTGTCACAGCTGCCTTTATGCCCTGAATCAGTGCAAAATATTTACCTATCATGGCCATTTTGACTTTGAGAAAGAATCAGAAGTCACACAATGCCAGATCCAGTGAACAGTGTGGCCGAGGACACATGATAATGCTTTTAAAAAGCTGCCTTTTGGTTGGATGGCGCTGAGCAACAGCATTCCCTGTTTTATTTTGTTTTTAGCACAGGGTCTGCAGGGTCTCACTACTTAGATCAGACTCATAGTGAGTCTCCTGTTTTCAGCCTCTCAAGTACTAGGATTATAGGCGTGCACTAGCACAGCCAGTCTCATTGGCTCAGCCCTCTCAGCGTGCCCCAGGGGTGGGGCTGGCATGGCACACCAGGGTTTGAACCCCCAGCCCTTGCATCTGCCTAAGCAGGTCCTTTAATCACTGAGCTATCTGGCTGGCCCGCATTCGCTGTTTTTGATCACATTTCATAAAGATACTCCCAACAGAGGCCACACAGAAGTGCTTCTGGAGTGACAAGAGCAGTTCAGAGTGAGAGGAATATTCTGAGGGGGTTGATGGCCATGTGTCTTTTACTGTGGTGCATTTTCTAATTTAAACATTGACCCGGCATTTTGATCACTTGTTATGTGTTCACTCTGAGTTAAGAGCTCTTCCCAGGCCATAGTGCATCTCATGTGACTCTTCAGAGGCCGCTGCCCCATAGCTCCCAGGCTCCCAGATCCTGACAGAAGTGGGACCTGACTGCCAGTTATAAGCCAAGCGCAGTGCACCATCCAGATACCTCAGCCAGTTTTCTCCCTGTTGAGAGATTTCTTGGCAGCAGTTAATACATTTTACCCGAAACTAAGGTAATACCCTCATTCCCACAATGAGAAGGTTTTTATAAAATGGGTATTTTATTTGCCTATTTAAATATATGAAACATTGGTGCTCAACCCTGCAGTGCCTTAAAATTTCTTAAATTAAAAAAAGAAAAGACATGGGCTGGGGAGATGGCTCAGTAGAATAAGTGCTTGCCTGGCAAGCTCAAGGTCCTGAGTTCAATCCCCAGTACCACCAAAAAAAAAAAAAAAAAAAAAAAAGACATTCCATTGCAGGACCCACACCACCTCAACTAAATGAGAATCTCTTCAAAGCTAGAATTGAAAAAAATTAGCTTCATATTTTAGGGAGGTAGACAAACTAACCAAATGCATACATGTGTTAGTCTATTTGCCCTTGCTCTAATAAATGTGAGATGGTAGGTACTTTATAAAGAAAAGAGGTTTATGCAGCTCAGTTTTGGAGGCTGGAAGACCATGATTGGATGGTGCTCTGCACTGGACCTCTGGTCAGGGCTTGTGGCATTGATATGTTAGCAGGAGCCCGAAAGAGGGGGCCGTGCCGTGGCAAGGAGTGAGCCTGAGAGCTGGAGGGGCTGTTCTTGCTCTTGTAACTGCCCTGGCAAGAGGAGTAACCGGGGTCCCAGAGAAGCACTGTAGTGCCCCTAACCCCCTCACACCCCCACCCCTATGTCTACCACTTTGCAGCCAGCAGATCCTAGATGGTCTCAGGATGCCCTCCTGGTCAGAGCCCTTCAGGACTCCCATTGTCCAGCTCCAGAAGGGCCTCAGGCTGTTTGCTGTTCCCTTTTCCACTTGCTGCTGTTCCTGCCTTCACTTGTAATGAAGCGTCACAGAGGCTCTGGCTTGCCTCTGTTTTGATCAGCTCCTGGCTCAGTGTCCCTTCCTGTAGTTCCCAGACCTCAGCAGAGCATCTCTCCAGCACCTCTCTGTCCAGGGAAACAGCTTCTGTTACACAAACCTCTGCTTGGGACTCCACCTGCACCCCATCAAAGCTCAATCTTCCCCCTTGACTTCTAGTTACTCTTTTTTTTTTTTTTTTTGCGGCACCAGGGATTGAACTCAGGACCCTGCTTCTTTAGTTACTCTTGTGCTCTTTATCCCCCAGGTCTCTGAGGACAGGCCTCTAGGTCAGGGGTTGTTATGATTTGTGTACAGTTGTCCCCCTCTGCCAACACCTTATATAGTCATGGGACAGCTTCTGGATTACTGTGGGTGTGCCTGCTGTGCGTGCCCTGGGGCAGGTGATTGGCATTACAGTATAAGGAGGGATGAGAGGCTGGCTAGCTGCCTGGGCTGCTGCCACTCCCTTTGCTCTCTTGCTCTTTGCCACCACCATGAAAGGTTGCTCCCTGCCATGTGCCACTCTGCTCTGGAGCCAGCTGAGTATGGACTGAAAACTTCAGTAACTGTGAGCTAAATAAACCTTCCCTTCCTTCATTTTGGGTGTCGGATATTTGTCCCAGCAACGAGAAAAGAGTAACTGAGACAAGGGCCTGCACATTTTTGCCTTTGTGCACGGTTCCAGCAGGGAGGCTTGTACATATTAGGGGTTCAACGAACAGGTGTTGAAGGAGTACACACGTTGGTTTCAGCCAAAGCACAAGAATAAGTCTTTCCTGATTTCACTTTTAAATAGTAATCTAAAATGTGCACCTTATTATAATAGAGCCAACAACTAAGATCCTAGACATTGTTCTAAATGCTGTCGTCTTCTTCCACCTTCACAGTTTCAAGGAACCATGTTCCCTGCCTGAGTTACTAGGATGGTTTTTAACATGCCTTTATGGGAAATATCTCTCTAAATTTTAAGAAATTAAGCTGAATGTGCCATGTAACTAGGTTTTTACTCATGGAAAGTTGTGTTGTAGCAGGGACTTTAAAAACCACATAATCTGTCAGTTTCTAACATTTGTGTCTCTCCAAGATGTGCCCTGAGGCTCCTGTTCTGTCCCCAAGGCCCAGGTTTCCAATTCAGTGTGCCTAGATGGTGTCAGTAAAAGAGTGAGTGAACCTGCCTAGTCGTGCAGGCATGAAAACACAGGTCACCCTGTGGCCTGTGGGTCAGGGGTAGCCCCACCTTCTGGCCTCCTGAGTTTCATTTTGCAATGTGCAAGATTGTAGAGATGGTGCTGTTTCTGCAAAGGCTGCTTGGCTGGCTGGTGGAGAAGCGCTCTCTCTCTCTCTCTCTCTCTCTCTCTCTCTCTCTCTCTCTCTCTCTCTCTCCCTCCCTCCCTCCCTCCCTCCCTCCCTTTCCACCCTCCCATCTATGTCTCTTATATGTGCTCTCTCTCTCTGTGGGTTTCTGTGTCTCTTTCGTACACATTCCCCTACCCAAGTAAGGGAAATGTGGGGAGAAGGTACAACTTCAAGGAAATGAAAAGCCATTGTATGAATTTTGATAAGATAAGCAGCTCTTTTCATCCTTGTAATGTTGGTCGGGTGAAGACAGTGAGTGACAAAGAAGGAGATTCAAACCAAAGCAGGGATTGCTTAGATTACTTAGAGGGAGCATCCAACTAAGACAGAATCCTTCTGTGTTGCAGGGGGAAAATTAGATTTGTGATTAGGCAAATTTGTATGCACTGCTGAGACATGGGACTGGCAAGCCTGGGTTGGAGAGAAACACTTCTTAGAAGATTCAGTGAGAGAGACAGCTGTTGAACATTCATTAAGCATATTGACCTCGCACTGTCACCAGTTCTTTAACAAAGGGTGACACTCTCAGAGGCCTGAGAGTTAAAGACCCCTAGAGTGGGGCTAAGCCAGTGTGTACCTCTGCCTGCCCCTAGGGAGGGGAGGCTAGGCCTGGTGGGGATGGGCCTGAAGCCATCAGCCTGGGATGTGGACACCCCTTGTGCCATGAACTGAGGGGCGCTTAGTTGATGGGGCCATTTTAGTTGAAGATGATACAGTTCACACAGGCGCAGGTGTGCTAGGACTCACACACATACACACACCCCACTCTGAGCTCAAGAGTAGACCCCTCCCATCTTGCATACCACAGCTGACCATAGTTGTGAGAGCGGATGTTACCTCTATAGGGATTTGCATGCTGTTTTTTCAGTTCTTTTTAGGTTCTTTGGACTATGTACTCAAATTAGTACAATAAATAAGGGAAAACATTGTTACCTAGACTGACAACAAACCCAGCAAAGTGGAAGTAACCTAAAGAAAATAACTCATAATGTAAAAAAAGGATAAATCAGTAGTACATAGTTTTCTGTATTGATCCAATGTTTTAAACAGATCACCAGTGGATTTCACAAACACTTCTGAAGTGTCTTCCCTGAAGGCTGTGCTCTGAGTGCCAGGACACAGCACAGGGAGTTAAACAAAAGCTGCTACCTCAGAAGCTTTGCATAGCTTGCCCCACCATTAAGGCGCTGTTCTTAAGATCCACCGTCCCCCATTCACATGTGGTTCTGATTTTAATGAGTCACTTTTTTTTTTTCCCAGAGAGAAGAAAATGGCTTTCCGGACAGTATTGGCGATCCCCTTTCAGGTAAGTGATCCTCCCTGAAGATACCTGGGTGTGATGATAACTAATTGATGTGCCTAAATTGAAGGAGTTTATTATTAATTTTTGTGTGTGGCTTTATAATTTTATGTGACAATGTGTAGTTAAGCCATGTATCTTGAGTACAGGCTTCTGAAGGTGGTAGCAGGTATGTAGGTGACCAAGTCGTAGAGCTTGTATGGTGTGTCTTCATCCTCATTATGCATTGTGGACAGTGCACACACGTACAGCATGGGGCCTCCTCGTCCCTTTGGCCCAGACGGCTCTTGTGTGCCCAATATCCACGAGTGCATCTGGAGTCCCATCTCCTGCCCGGCACATTGCCCAGACACATCTCCTCGAGTGTCCAGGGTCATGTTTCCTGAAAGTCACTCATGGCTGAACTTGTGAATGTCGATGGGGGAATTCTTGGGTCACCACTAAAGGGGGTCAGAACACCCGTCTTATCATCCCCTTCTTTTCTTTCCTTTGTTATTATTATTATAATTATTATTTGGTATCAAGGATCACAATCAGGACCTTGCGCTTGCCAGGCAGACACTTAAGCTGCCGAGCTATCTCCTCGGCCCTGCCCCGTTCTTTTCAAGAACCCTGTTGTGTGACCTGAGTTGGAAAGGATAAGGAAAAGCCTGATGTGAGTTTCTTTTTTTTTTTTTTTTTCTTCAGTAGATTTTTTTTTTTTTTTTCAGTAGCAGGGATTGAACTCAGGCCCTTGCCCTTGCCAGGCAAGAGCTTATTCTACTGAGCCATCTCCCCGGCCTCATGACATGAGTTTCTAAAATCTGTCCTGCTGAACAGAGCAATTTTCCATGCTATTTGCCATATAGAAGTGCAAGGAGAGATTTATTTTACACAATTTCACAAGAGTCTTTGAAGAACGTTTTCTCTGTGCTAACTTGCCTTTGCTCGTGAAGGGCACAGCAGGGCTTTCAGCATGTTCATCTACAGAAGCGTTACGGTTTGCCCATCTACGCCATCTTTCTTTGCAGACCCAGGTTTGGAAGCCAGTGCCTCAGGCATGTGAGGGAAGTGCTCTGCCGCTGAGCTACACCCCAACCTACATATGTTTTTTCTAATAAAAAATCTATATTTAAAATTTTTAAGGACTAATACCTTCTATGTTCATTTGGCATGTTAGCTAAAATAAAAAATGAATACAGAAATTTTTCTAGGAATAACTATAAGCCCTTGAAGTTCTTGTATGAGTTAAGGCCATAATTAGTTCATAGGTGAATGTTAATCAAGATCCTTATTGTCTCCAGAATTTTTTACTTGTATCAAAATGAGCAGAAGCCCAGCATGCATTGGGGTCCTATGTTCAATTCCCAGTGCCACGCAAACCAACAACCCCAGAAGTGCTCAGAGGGGATGAACTTTCATGATGGCTGGCAACATGGATGTGTTGGACACCCACAAGCTGCTGCTGTTAGAATTGGTGTCTGCAGTGTCTGGCATGTGCCCAACCCACAGACGGCCAGGGTTTTATTTTGCCTTGTTTTCTATAAACAAACAAAAGATTGGACTCAGTGGCCAGTGACCTAGTGTCTACCGTGTACTAGGTGTTCTTCTAAGTGTTTTACAGGGCTGGGGTGCTCAGGATCTGCATGTCAGCTTTGTTAATTTCTTTACCATACAGATGTTGGGAGGGAGGCATCACAGGGTCGCACAGAGTAAATAGGATCCAAGGCCTTAGCCTGGCTCCTGTGGCCCCCAAGGCTACCGGAGGATCCCACTGAGACCTGTGAGGTGCATCCTGCGCAGCTGAGGGTCCTTTGAGAGGGAGAGGTGCAGGCTCCACTATGTCAGATGAAGTCCTGAGCTGACCCCTCAAATGTCTGAGTGGCCAAAATGCCTTTCACAGAATCTTTCTACTTACTATGAGTAAGGCTCTGGCCTTAATTCAAGGCCTAGTTTTTATTAATGCATACCCTTTGAAAACCTTAGCGATCTGTAGTCCAGTCCACAGCTGGTTAAAACATGCCATAGGTGTGGTGCCTCGTGCCTGTGATCCCACTCTTCGAGGCTAAGAGAGGAGGGTCATAAGTTCAACGCCTGCCAAGTTAGCAGTTTAGGAGGCCCTATCTCAAAATAAAGAGAAAAAGAAGGCTGGGGGTATAGATCAGTACGAAGGCCCTGGATTCAGTCCTCATCACTAAGTAAAGAAATAGATAAGCAAGGTAGAGGGCCCTATGGTAGAATTCAGGACTGGACAGGAGTGCAGAACGACAGCAATAGTTTCTAATCAAGGAAAGTGGGAGGATACAAGTCAGAACCAGCTGCCACTAAGAAAATAAGAGAATGTATATGCCAGTACACACACCCGGCCCGGCGGGCACAAGAACGTCAAGGACATTCAACCAATGCCCTGGGTTAAAGCAGCAATAACAAATTGTATTCCACTTCTTATCAGTGGAGACACAATTATTGTGCAATGCTTTTATACAGATTTTCAAAATGAAAATATTGGATATTAAAGGAATAAGGCTCAGTTGTACTATACGTATAAAACGTTCTTCAAATTGGCAGATTTCATTTCTCCAGTTTGTCCAGTAAATTGAAGGATCACTCTTATGTCTCAAATCTGAAGAAAAAACTGCAGAAGGCTCTGGCTGTGACATTTCCTTCTACTCTTCGTACTATGACACATCCCTGAGGTTTTGCCTACTGTGGCCATTTTTTTAGGGTTGACTTTCTGGAGACTTTGCCTAATTCAACAACTTCTAAATCTAAAATTAACTTCCCCATTGAAATGAATGTAAAGTAGGATTTTGATATTTTCAGATTAGGCCTATAAAATGATTTCATATGTTTGTGTCCCAGCGTATCAGAACCACATTACTCAAATTTAAGTAAAAATTCTATGCTGTGTTTAATCTAGATCATTGTATATGTGTAAGAGTTTGTTTCTCTCTCTGTGTGTGTGTGTGTGTGTGTGTGTGAGAGAGAGCTACACTACAGTTTTGTTTGATGACAAAACTGAGGCCCAGTGTAATTGATTTGCCTGGATGCACCCAATTTCAGTGAGATTCTCAAGACTTCCAGCCCACCTGGTGTCTCCGCAGGATGTTTTAGAAAGAGAAAATGAAGTCATACTTTTCTCTTTGGTTAAGAGATCCAACGATAAGCTGGAGAGATAGCTCAGCAGCACAGCGCCTGCCTGGCAAATGAGGTCCTTAGTTCAATTCCCAGTACCAGAAAGAAAAAGAGAGATGAAACACCTACCCAAAAGCCCTGGGAACCATTTTTTCATAGATAAAAATAACTCTCCATCACTTTCCAGCTCATCACATCCGACTACCTCTGACAAATAATGTGGCGTATCTGTGCCCCAACACAGTGATTTATTGAAGCTTGAAACTGGCCTCTTAAATATATTTACTTTCAATCACATTGGAAACCACACACAGAAAAAAGGCATAAATGTATGCTGTTAACAATCATAGCTTCAGAAGTATATGATTCTGTTCGACATGAGCTGGTATTTTTCAGGTTCCAGATCTGATAATTTATAAGACACCTGGGATAGAGTTATTTTCTTTTGGGACTACAATACTTTGCTATCTCTATAGTTGCCAATATAAAGTGTTTACAGTTAATTGTTTTGAACTGATTTGAGACACCTAGTTGGTTATCCCAGGGAACTTCATTCCAAGCCATCTGAAAGCTAGCATGGTGTGAGCTGAGGGGAGGGAAGCTCGGTGTGGTAAGAGCTCTGGGGAAGCCAGAGAAGCCAAGGTGTATGAGATAAAAGGGCACCTTCCCTGCAGCAAGGCGTGTTACGTCCGCCTGTGATCTGCTGCCAACATCCTGACTGGAGCCACTGCTAGGCTCAACTAATCATGACCTCTGTGAATTCTGAATCTCATTCCAGTTCACAGTTAACTGTTAATTGACTGCTGTTTTATAATGCACCGTCCCCAAAGGTGAAAGCTAGACGTGACACCATTGCACATTAACTTTTTCCTACGTTTGCTTTAAATGATATCAGCATTCCTTGTTGATGAACATGCTTGGTCCTGAAATGCACATGTGAGGAAGGATGGAGGGCGAGGACAGAGGCGGAGGAAATGCCCCACAGGGAAGTCCATTCATCTGCCGAGGGCTGTGGAGACATTAGGTGTCCAGGGTCTCTTTTATTTATTTTTATTTTTTAAGAGCTAAGATCTCACTGTGTTGCCCAGGCTGACCTTGAACTTCTGGGCTCAAGCAGTCAGTCCTTCTGCTTCAGCCTCCCAAGTAGCTGGGACTAGAGGAGCCCATCATGGCACCTGTCCAGCAACTTTTAACTAAAGAAAAGTAATTCCAAAATCTAACTCTGGTGTCCTCATTATTTACACTGGAAGTGTCTGAAAGACAGTGATTTTCAACCCTGGCTACACCTGAGATGCTAGTGGGTAGGAGGGGAAGTGTTTTTAAATTTTCATGCCCTGTCTGCACCCCAGACTAATTAAATAAGGATCTTGGTGGGTGGAGCCAGACATCAAGATTTTATAAATTTCCTCCAGGAGATGAGAAGGTTGGTGGATTCTATCCCAGAACTAAGTTGAGAACAGTCTGCTTTAGAAGGCTGTTGGTGATTATTCCTCCTCACCCGTAAGCTGTGTGTTGTTCCTCATGTACCATGTGCCAGGATGGGGCTTTCATGGATTGTGTCCCTTAACCCTCACAGCCACCTTGTGCAGTGGGTGCTGTTTTCCCAGTGCAGGGAGTGAGCCAGGAGCTTAGCACACTTGGTAACCAGTATAAGCACAAACCTGAGCTAGCTGTGCATGGAGCTCATGCCAGAAATCTGCAGGCACACAGTGAGCCCTCTCCATAGCAGCTGGTTGTCTTTCTTCTGTCTTATGTATGGTCTGTGAACATCTAAAAAAAAAAAAAAAAAAGTGGCTATTGAGCTGGACCAGGCAGTGCACACCTGTAATTCCAGAGTCTTGGAGCCTGAGGCAGGAGGATCACAGGTTTGAGTATAGCCTGGGCAACTCAGGAACTTGGTGAGACCCTGTCTCAAAATGTCTCAAAATAAGAGACAGGGCTGAGATGCGGCTGGGTATGAAGGTACTGGGTTCAGTCTCTAGAACTGAGGAAAAAGTGTCCACTGGCTTGACAATGTCTAAGTAGCGACTCATGAGCTGTCCAGAGGCTTCTGATATGACTGTTTCTTTCACTGATGTCATACTCTTCCATCATTTGATTTGATCTATTGAGCATTTACTGTATACTTGGCATATGGCAGAGATATCAGACATCAAAGTCCTTTTCCACTTAGAGCTTTCATCCTAATTGAGAGAGACAATAAATAGAGAAAAAATATGCAATTTCATGTGGTGAAAGGGCCTGGAGGAATATGACAAAGGTAATAGGATGGTGCCTGGCAGGGGGATGCTATTCCGTGAGCTAAGCAGAGGAGTGGAGAGCTGAACACCCATCGAGCCAGGGTGTGAGGAGCCAGGGAGACTGTAGGAGGGGGACTTGGCAAGGGCAAAGGCCCTGCAGCTGGCCTGGGCTCAGCACTCCACAGACAGGTGTGGGTGGTGAAGAGCAGCAGAAGTGACTCAGTAGACTACACAGGCCTCCCTCTCCTGCCCACTTACATAAAATAAAGTCAGAAAACAAACAAACAAACAAACTCAGGCCAGGTATCATGCCTTGTGTATAGATGTCCCCCCCAAAGCCTCATGTAGTCATAAGAGAGGCTTTTTCAGAGGTGCCTGGATCTACAGTGTGTGATGCTGGGATCAAGGGTGTGTGATCACTAAACTATCCCACTGATTGGTTTGGCATAGTGATTGGTTTGGCATAGTCCTGGTTAAGAGTAATGGCAGGGCCTTCCTTGGGTGTGAGTATTCCCCATCCTAAGGGCAGGTAGCGTGGGTAAGATATAAGAACAGAAAGAAGGCTGTTGTTGTCACTTGTTGCTTGCTGCTTCTTCTCTACTTCACTGCTTTGCTGCCTGCTGCCCCCCATGAACTGTTTCTCCTCTGTGATACCCCTTTACCATACCACCCTGCCTTGAAGCCAGCCAAATATGAGCTGAAGCCTCTACAAATGATGAGCTACGAGAAACTTTTCCTTCTTTAACTCTGGGTGTCGTATATTTTGTTTAAGCAATGAGAAAAGTAACTAAGATACCAAGAATGGTGGTGTACACCTGTAATCCTGCATACAGATCTCAGGAAGCTGAGGCAGGTGGACTAAAAGTTTGAAGCTAGGTGAGGCAACTTAGCAAGACTGTGTCTCAAAATAAAATTTGAAAAAGAAAAGAGCTGAAGATACACCTCAGTGCTGCCTGAGTTAGACAAACAGAACCACATAAACAAACAAATAAGTAGATCAACAGCATATTACATTAGATTTGCCCAAGACTTTACAGAAAATATTTCTTATCATTGATTCTAAATTATTGCCATATTCATCTCATAGAAGAGGAATCTGAGGTCCACAGATGTTACATGCTCTGAGAAAAGTTTGAGGAGCTCCAGCCAGTGAAGCCTGGAAAGGCGATCTGGGATTGTGAATGTCACTGACCCAGTGCAGGGCTGGCAGACATTAGGACACAGGTCACTGTGTCCTGGAGAGATCGACCTCCCTCCCCTGCCAGTCTTCCTTACTATAAGCCAGTACTCAAGCTAGACTTGCAGAGGGCAAATCTTCCCTTTGGGCATATGTGTCAACGGATGCTTGTATCCAACATTCCCTTGCTGCTGAAGGGATTAAGATGTGGCAGACATTTACATGAAAGGCCTGCGTTGCACCATTACTCACAGTTCTGAAAATTTGGGAGAATTCTAAGCATTTAATAGTTTATTCAAAATCCATAATTATGTAGTTTCCAAATTTTCTACACTATGATTATATTAACTTAAAAAAAATTTTAAACTAAACTTAAAAAAAATACACTGCAGCAAATTGAGTGGTCTGGTTTGGCTGGAGCTCAGGACCTCCTGGAGGGAGCCACAGGAACCAGACAGAGTCATATGATGTGGGAGCTGGCAATGGCAATAGAGAATGCCGTAACAGTCTATAAGGACTCAGGAAAGCAGAGCGTGAATGAGGGAGTCCAGGTATTTGGAGTTCTCCTCCACTTCTTTAGTAGTGCTTGGGTGCTGAGTTGGTGATGTCACGTGGACATCAGCATAGGAACCAGATAAGATGCAAAATTAGAATTTGAAAGAGCCTTTATTTACTGAGCTCAGGGCCGTCAGTCAGTTCTCATGTAAGAGAAGACCATGGCAAACCCAGGGAGCAAGGAGTTTTTAAAGCAAAAAATCACATGACTGAAGAGTCTTTCACAGTTCAGTGATAAGCAGAACTTGCCCATGTGGGGGCTTGTTGAGCAAGGTGTTTTTACAAGATACATGTTAAGTTGACTATGTTTACAGGAATTAGATTAGGGAGGCAGTTTATCATAGCAAAACAGCCTTGACGAGAAAGTTACTTGTTACTAAACAGCCTTGAACATAGGGTGAGAACATATTCCTTAGAGTAGATAACAGGAAGCATGAGGTTTACGTTATAGCACAAAATTCACTTAACCCATTACAATCAAGAGGAGTTTTCAGTAGTTGGTTTTAGAGCTGGGGAGAGCAGGGGGCTCCTCATTCAGAATCACCGGTGCCTTTCCATCTTCAGCACAGATTAGGCACCTATATGTGTGCCACAGTGTATCAGTCCACTTTCCCATGCTGGGACACAGTACCCAATGCTCATGGCTTATGGGAGGAGAGGGTTGACTTGGCTCCCTATGTGGGAGAGTAAATCCGTAGCCAGCTGGCTCCAGGGCCAGCACATGGTGGCAGAAGAGCCTGGTGGAGGAAAGCTGTTCAGTTCATCATGGTGGCCAGATCATAGAGCAAGGCCAGAGAGGTGGGACCAGGGACAACATGAAGTCATAGAGTCCCAGCTCCAGGGCTCATTGGATGCACCCAGGACTGTGCTCTACGAGCCCTCAGGGCAGATTCCAAAGCCAATGGAAGTGATACTCTGCTCTAACCACCACACAAGGGCTGGACTGTTTTGCCGATGCAAAAGGCAAGGACCCTGCATGCTAATGACTTAGTAAAACTAAGTTTCAAAAATATAAAAGGTCTAGTGATGTAGCTCAGTGTGAAGGCCTTCTGTTCAATCCCAAGTACCACCTCCCAAAAGCCTAACACTATAATAAAATGTTCCTATGTTTACATCTTTGGGCTGTGGTCCCAGAAGTCACATCAGTAAGTCAGCGTATGAACAAAATTGTCATAGCTCTTGTTTTGTTGCCTTTTAATTTGTACTCACCTCAGAATTGCTGGTTCTCAACTTAAGCTCACAGAAGTGACTTTCTTAGTCACTTCTTCTTCACTTTCCTAAAATGGGAGGCTGTGGACCAATGTGATGCCATGCACCGCGGTGGACATTATCACTTTCCCAAGTCACTGATTTCTAAAGAAGCCCTTGGGGTGGGGGTGGGGCAGGGGGTCAGGGCACAAACACTGCTGTGAGTTCACTGTGAGCCTGGGCTACAAAGTGACTTCAAGGCCAGCCTGGACTACATAGTGAAACCCTGCCCCACAAAAGACAGGAAAAAAAAAAAAAGAAAGAAAAGAGACCATGTGAGACCGCACTGCAGATCCATTTGCCATAGTACAGACAGCACTTTATTATAAATGACTTGCTAACAGTGTCTTACCCACTCACTCCATCCTCCCACTGCCTGCCTCCTGGTAACAAATGAGGCTGAGGACCCTGAAGGGAAGAAGGCGTCTCCCTGTGGGGGCTGGGGCGGCTCAGAGCCTGCTGTGGTTCTCCGCCTGTTTGCACCTCGCTGCACACCTGAGGCTGTTGGCTACACTTCAGACGGAGCCCCACAGGTGAAGAAAACAGAGATAAAGGCCTAGGGAAGATAAGGTGGCCATAAATTTTAAAAGTAAGTGTTCTGGCACTATCAATTATCACTTGTTTTCAAATATGCATATGGAGTGGATATTCCAGTTTGTTTGTTTTTTTTTTTTTTTTTTTCAAGAACTTTTAAAGAACTGTACAATCCATTTCACCCTAGCATGCTGTGTTTGGTGTTGAAAAGTTGTCAGGGCACAGGGTGAGTGCACACGGGTCAGGGCTGGCTTCTCTTCAGGCTGGGCCCACCGGACTGTGATCTGTCCCCAGAGAGAGCCCAGAGCCCTCGTTTTAGTCAGTGGTCCCATGATGCATATGGCAAGATACAATGTCTTGGGCAGTACTGAGCAGTGAGTGTTCAGCACTGTTCCTCTCTAAGGAAGGCTGGTGCTATGACTAATTCAGCGGGAAGATAAGGACTGGAGAGATGAATGGGTAGGCACAGCCTCAGCTGACCTGTGGACTCTTTCTCCCTTCAGGTGTCAGCAAGGACTCCCCCTGCAAAGAAGACTGCACTTGTTCCTCCTGCTCACTGCGGGCCCCAACCATAAGTGACTTGCTCAACGACCAGGACTTATTGGATGTGATCAGGATAAAGCTGGATCCGTGCCACCCAACAGTGAAAAACTGGCGGAATTTTGCAAGCAAATGGGGCATGCCCTATGACGAACTTTGCTTCCTGGAGCAGAGGCCTCAGAGCCCCACCCTGGAGTTTCTGCTGCGTAACAGCCAGAGGACGGTGGGCCAGCTGATGGAGCTGTGCCTCCTCTACCACCGTGCTGATGTGGAGAAGGTGCTGCGCAGGTGGGTGGAGGAGGAGTGGCCCAGGCGGGGGCGAGCCGACCGCCCCGACCACCACCGCTCGCACTTCTAGATCCCCTCTCCTCCTGGCACGGGCCTCCTGCACCCTGCGGCAACCACAGCTAAGGACGTGAACCTGGTCCTTTTAAGAGGTTAGGATGAGGACATGGAATGGTGGGCGTTGTTTACCCCAAGGCTGGTGGTTTTGTGGAGGAGTAGTTTCTGGTTTAGTGGAAGATCATTTATTTCTTTTTGCACATCTGATTTAATTTAATATTTGAATGTGGAATTGAGAAAGTATTTTATAGACTTACATAAGGGCCAACAGCTACAATCAGGGTGGATTCCAGCCGTAATGAAACTAAAACGATCCCCTCAAGTACTGCTGAAGATTTCAATGGGACTGAAGACCGTTGATGGCTCTAGACGCAAGGACACCGTCACATGCAAGCGCCTTGGTGACCAGTGACATGCACAGCCTAGCAGAAGACAGCAGTGAGAAGTTACCCTATTTTGTCTCTGTGTTATTGTTTTGTTGTAAAGCGCTTAGGTGATCAGCTACTATGTAGGCATATGCTATAGACCACACGTGTCTTTTTTTTTTTTTTTTCGACATATGTTCATTTATTCTCAATGGCAACAGAAACTGTCTCAAAATACATGCAGGTGCTTTGTATTTTCAAGAGACATTTTAAAATATGCTACTTCAGTTGAAGTTTAAAAGCCATACCTTGCCCCGTTTAGCATTGGTTTTAATTAGGAAGTCAATCCTCACATTGTCAACATTTGACACCAGCATGGAGCCTACTCTGGAGTGGCATCAGATGGATACACATAGTCCTGGGTACATGTGCTCCAGTGCATCCCTGGTAAGCCTAGTTCTAAAGTGATCAGAAGAGGACTGAAGATTAGGAGCAGCAGGGTCTGAAAGTCCCTGGGCAGTCGAGGTTCTTCCAGAAGCATTAGCGTCCAAAGGCGGCGATGCCATCAGCTGCAGAAAGGATCGCTTTTCCTTTGCAATTCTCTTCCTCCGAGCCACCGCCGCTGCTGCTACCACCGGAACTCATGCTGGAGTCCACGCCGGGCTCATCCTCCAGCTTCTGGTGGCTCAGGGTGCAGGGCGTGGGCAGCTCCCAAGGAGCACCTGTATCATCTTTTCATTTAAAATTGAATACCCTGTAGACTGTCTGCAGTGTCATTTACCTTAATGTTTTTTCAAAGAAATACAAAAATTGATAGTTACGGGGGTGGGGCGGTGCAGAGTGAAGAGTCAGGGTTTTCTAAGTACCATGGGAATGATATTTGAGAAAGAACACTATTCAAAATACCCTTTTGTTATCCAGGATTTTTTTTTTTTTTTTTTTTGGTGGTACCAGGGATGAAACCCAAGGCCTTGTGCTTGCCAGGCAGGCGCTTATGCCACTGAGCTAAATCCCTGGCTTATCCAGGATTTTTAAAAGTTAATTTAATGTTTACTTTTTCTTCTTTTATTAAAAAAAAAAACATGGAATGCTTCATCCTTGAGATGAAACTCAGTCAATTAATGAGAATCACCCAGCTCATTGTTGAGCTACACCCACTTCTAGCACCTAATGTCCCGGATGAAAATAAGGGTCCCTAACACTGCAGGAGAGGGTGGCCATGTGGAGGAACATTGCTACTAGTGAATTAAAATCAGGATCTCAAAGGATTTTACACCAAATGGAAAATTTAGTTTAAAGAATACTCAGTGCTCCTGCTTAATCATTTTAGGAATAGGCAATTATGGGGATAAGAGGGTCAGATTTTCTAGGTTCTTTGGGAGCAAAAAGAGAGGCAGGGCTTGGTTGGGCTGGCAAGTCTACAAAAGTGCTGTTTGGTTTTGGCCATGGGCTTAGAAAGCGAGGGCCCTCTGTTCAATTTGTGGGGCTTTCTAGATCAGTCCCCAGTTAAAATAAGCCAAAAGGATGAATAATACTGACCAGTATAACAGAAAGATTAGGGTTTACTCCAAAGAAAATGGATTGCGAAACCACCATGATTTTTTCTGTTAACAGCCAGGGCGGTTTCCATTAGGTTGCTAAACATAAAGTCGGCCTCTCTGCCACAAGGGCAGTCTCTGCTACAGACTCGTACTCACCATCCCCCGCTGGTGGAGGCCGCACCTGGTCAGATTTACTAGGTAAATATCATACTTTTTGCCAAATATATTTAATGTAAGGACAATTAATAAAATATGATTAAAAAATAGATTCCCTAGTAAATTGGTGTTCAGTGAGGTGTTTGTTAAATGTGTGCTTAAAAGAATTAGCCAGGATCCAGGTTCTGTACAAAACTTGAGGGGGCATTCTAGTTGCCCATGAATTTGAATTTGATTTGATGTGTTATATTCTCTCTCTCTCTCTCTCTCTCTCTCTCTCT